ATAATTCGGGAACACTCATAGCGTTCCAATTGCCAGTGTTTATAGTAGCGTACCCTTTTGACTTTTGCATCAAATTCAATGCGCCATTACGACAACCAAACATCTGATGACTTTGGGATTCATCTGACCCCGTCCTTAAACTGAATCTGATTGCCTGATTCTGAGCCTCGGCCAGCTGATAAGAACCCCTTGTTCGACTGCCGGTCTTCTCATCGCCCAAACTCAGCGTTTGTGCAGCATTCTCGTGAGCCTTCGACGTGGACCGATTCACGTGACCGGCGAAAGCCGCCTCTTTCGCATTGGGCAGCTCACCTGAACTTGCGTTCGAGAAGAAAAAACCCCGATCATTGAATCCAAAACCTCTGTTTGCCGGGTGTTTCGGATTCGCACCAGCAACAGAAAGAGTGGAGGATAGGGATGTACAGCCAGTGACTGATCTCATAAAATGCTAGCAAAAATTCTAAAATTCGTTTTCGGTTAGGTTTATCACTCAAGTGGACTTGTAATATTAATTATCATGTGGTCTAATCCCATGATGTTGGGAACTTGCTGAGGTGTGAGCTTATGAATGCACTCTTTTTAGAACATCTCTAAAAGCCGCTTCCGTCAAAAATGACCATTGACTGTTCGCCTGTCTACGAAGGCCCCACACAGAAAGTTTCATAAGTGATCGTGATCTCGAACACCTCCGACCAGTCAGCACACATAGTTCACGACTATATGGTTTACCTAAGATCCATAAGGAAGGCCCGCCGATTCTTTCGATTTTAGACATATGAAACTCTCCGTATCATGCGATAACGAAGTGGTTAGCGGAGAAACTCAAGCCCATACAGCATCAGCTAACACCAAACAGCTACCAGGATACCTTTGAATTCATTGACGACATCAAAGACCTTAAGCTTAACGACATGGTGTTGTTCTGGCTAGACGTCTCATCACTTTTACAAACGTTCCGATCACTGAGACAGTTAGTTATATCTGTGAGTTCTTATTACCCAATCAGTAAAAAATAGTAAGTCCGACAATCACAGTCAGGAAATTGTTATTAAGAAGTATATTACGTGTACAGTTCCTTTTTGACAACCAACTCTATAGACAAATTGTCGGCGTTGCAATGGGCCCAACCCTTTGAACATCCCTTAAGCAATATCTTCAGGGGCAAGCTGGAGAGAGTTCAGCCAAACGATCAGATAAATAAGCTTAAACATAACGTTCGCTATGTTAATGACATGTTTGCAATTGCCAGGGGAAAAACCGACGTAGCTTCCCTTTTAAATGATGTAAATCAGGCACATTCGCCTATCAAATTCAAGTTGGAGATGGAAACGGCCGGATCGGTCCCATTCTTAAGTGTTCTCCTAGGCAGGAGGCCTGACGGTAGTGTCCGAAGGAGCGTCTATTGGAAGAAAACTTGGTTTGAAAATTAGACGGACTTTGGCAGTTTCGTACTCCTCCAGAAAAACGAAATCTAGTCCGATTGATTAGCATAAAAAACTAAAAAAAATTTCTCAACAGACAGCATCAAGAAGAAGCATAGCAAAATTCAGTATTTGCTTCATGAAAACGGGTATTCCGGTAGGTTTATCGCAAAAAACATTGCCGAGGCGATCGGTAAAACCCACCACACTGACTGCCAAAAAGAAAATTTACTCCTCCTTCAAGAGGACCCTGCGGGTGAATTTCTAAGAAGACGCCTTGAGCAAGCTGTCTCGCCAATCTCACTAGGAGCTAGGGTTTGAATATTATTCTCCACTAACTCTATTTAACACAGAGCAGGTAAGGAAAGGTTGCCACTTCAGACCACCTCGTTGTGGATCTGTTCCTCAACTTGCTCCTGTGGAGTAGGTCATGCTGGTCGTAAGAGTCGGCGTCTATCAAAAAGAATACGAGAACACCTCCCGCAAGGCTGGGAATAGGCGGAACTAGAAGCATAAGCAGCGCCATTCTTATGCATGCAATTTATTCCGGGTATCGTGTATACCCCGACGAAGAATTTTGTGGGATTTATAATGTCCCCTCGAGCAATTCTAAGCTACTGGAACAAAATCAGTTGGCAATAGCAGGAGCGTCCACGGTCAGGTTACGAAATCGACCCCGTGTGTGCAGAGGGATCTCATTAACTCCTTTCCACTCTCTTTCTGCCTCTGTTTTAAAAACTGACTTTTGTCGATATTCCAACCACTGACATGTTTGACTGTGCCCTTTTCGCATATAACTGTACTCGTCTAGAGAGAATTTATCGAAAGCAAGCGTTTGCTCGCCAACCCGTTATCCGAATACTGATACGGGAATTTTTGCAACTCCAAAATGGCGATTTAAGTAGCATGCCTTTCTAGCATTCATATTCGGTGACCGTATAAATCCAAATATATTTTATAGAAAAGAGGTCCTTTGGAAGAATGTCGCGTCCTCTTGACATTTAATGCTCGAAGAAGTTGCATATTTACGCTTTGAAAACGCTTTCTAGTTTCCTAATAATTATGAGCTGGATCAATCGTTGCATTAACGTTCTGGTCTACAAAGTGTATACGCTCGGTATAAGAAAAATCCAATACTCCTCTACTTTATACAATTTTGGCAGTGGATGCGCGGTATATTGAATTCTTAATGAGGAACATTAATAAACATAAGGGTACGATGCCGTATGAGTAGACATTGCATGCTCTTGAAAAATTCCATAATAAGAAGCTTCTTTAAAATCGAAAGACACAAGTTCTTCGGATATATAAACGACGTGATGTACTTCCATTTTAGTAAAATAAAGCATATTCTTGTGCATGTTTTCTGTGAAACAAATTTGAATTTATCAGACCACTGAAAATCAATATAAAAGATATATTATAAGTAAGTAATCATTTTTGCCGAGTGCAGTATTTACAGATGATTGAAAAGAGTGCATTAAAAAGTCAACATTTAGGCGAGTCCTCTTTATTATGAGATTACGCCGCACGGTACTCAATATTACAACCCCACCCAAGTAATCATTCCTGATCGGAAACGCATTTCGGAATTCCCCCTAACATTTAATGAGAGCAGGCTAGCAAAATATGCGTTGCAACAATCTAGTTTTTTCCCCTGAACTGCTTCTTGGCCCCACCTTTCTGGTATATGTCCGCTAGTTCTCTCTTTAAGACGGAACATCGGCCCCAAATGACTGCTGTAATTCTGAATGGATAGATTTAATTTGGTTCTTCCACACAGCACATAACTGTATGATTGACCAAATGAAAAATAATAATTTGCACCTGCCCCCGGCATACATCTATTGGGTAAAAATCCAACGATAGAAAACGTCAACAATTGCACAGCGACCAGCAATATCTAACTCCGGAGCAGTTTCAACAGCATGATCATGCACGTAGTCCACGGTTTCAAAGGTGTTTCCGTGAGGAAAATGTTAAATCTGGCCAACTCTGGCAAGTCTTGTACGAGTACAAATGCTTACAGATTACTGAGTTTTCACTCCTCCCCTGCAGACGGTTATCTGCGAAAAAGGCATCAGTTAAAAGGTGGTTGGCTGGGGGCAGGTCGCGTATGAGAGGCATATATGACCTTTAAATTGTTACATCAATTAGGAGTTACATGTTCATGCACTGGTTCAAGCTTGTTTCAGTTTTGGGGTAGCTAGAACTCACTGCCCGAATGCCTGCCTCTCACAGATGTGAATTCCACACTGCTGCCAGCGTGGGATTGGTATTGACAGTTAGGAGGGGAACGTCGCCTTGCTGCGGAGAAGACTGCCCAAGTGTTATTTGCGTTCTAGCCATGTGTGGTTAAGAAGAATCACCAAGGGTTTAAAAAATTGCAGCCAAACGTTAGGAGGGTGAATTTTTTCGAGGATTCAACATCTCAGACAGCTTGTATTTTTTTCTATCCCAGCCCTAAAAATCATGTGTAGCTAAGGGATTTTCAAAAATACGACCTCTAAAAAGGCCAGTCCTTCGAGGGGGCACGTGTTTGCTTTTCTCAACCGTCTGTCTCCAGTAGGAAAAATGCAAATTGTATTTTTTTCCCCTTCAAAGGGAAACAAGACAGGAAATGAGACCTACAATAGACCGTAAACAATCTACTAAAGGCTGAATTAATTTTCCCGGAAGGAGATGTGAATCAGATGATGAAAATTCCAGATCTGAGTAAGGGATGTACAGACACAACAATCCTTACTCCTGGCGACATGTTCTAAGTGCCCTTTTACGGCTGTATCGGCGAGATCTTTGGCCAGCGAGCGAAGAAACGTCCTCGACACCCACGCAGTCTACAATATACGATTGAAAGTAAGCAACGTGTTTATCCTCTTCTATGCAGTGAAAGGAAAGTGGGGAGATGGGATGAGTTAATAAAGCAATCATGATCTGGAACTGCAAGGGGAAAATTTTCAAGTCTGTTAGGGAGTAAAGCATCATCACTACGGAAAGGGACTCCTTAGTAAGTAGACTCGGCGGGGCGGGACGTGGTTACAAGAACCCTACGTGGCGCCGGCGGTTTCGGACTAAGTTTCAGGAGCTAAAATTAGCACTAGGGGTTGGCGTTAAGGTTCAAGTTAAGATAAAGGGCACGACATGGGAATAGGAAACCCCTGGAATGTGGAATGTGATCAGTTTTAGTATAGAGGACATTTATTTCGACATTCAATCTCTCTCTGGGCCTAAAATAAGCACTCCTGATGAATTCTGCCATTCCAAAAACCCATTTTCCGCCGAATTCTCCAGTTGAGAGTCATCTATTTTGGGCGGCTGAAGCATTAGGAGATCCTCGAGGCTTCTCCCCTAGGGATATAATATTCTTATTTACTCTTTATTTAAAATGCTGTCCATAAATTTAGCATAAATAGTTTTTCTACCAAACAGTCCTTCAGCTACAAAGCAAAGAAACCAGGATACCAACTCTGGAAGTTGCAATTTCCGCGCATGTAAATTCCTCAAAGGCTCTTCCCCATAGGAAATTGTCAAATTTAGAAAATGTAAAACAGTTTCATACATTTTCTTCCAATACGTATATTACTCACCATATCGCCGACTGTAGATACTGGTTAAACGGTGACCAATTTCACTTGTGAGAATTAGAGAAAGAGAGTCGAACTTTGCAAAAACTACGTAGGGAAACTGTCCTTTTTTCCTCCCCTCCCCTTCTCCGTTTTTATTATTATTATTATTAGTATCATCCTCCCCCTCATCATCATCATCATCATCATCATCATCACCACCACCATCATCATCATCATCATCATCATCACCACTGCCACCACCACCACCACCTCCACCACCATCACCACCACCACCACCACCACCACCACCACCACCACCACCACCACCACCACCACCACCACCACCACCACCATCATCCTCATCATGATGTAAACGAGATAGCGCCAATCAATTTCTTTATAAATGACACAGATATGGCCTTCATGCGTTTCGAAGGAAAATTACACAGTGATTTACTCCCCGCGTATGCGGCAGCCCAGACTTAGAGATCTGATTGCCAATTTAAAAAATGTGTCCACGAAAGTGTTCGTGATTCCTCAACCAGCAAAAACGACCGAAAGACGCTTGCCTCGTAATCCTGTGAACCCCTTCTGGGGCAGCGCTGAACGAAAAAAAACTCCACAAAAAATGCTGACGAAAATCTTTTGAATGTACAATCGCGGCAGGATTTAGCAGATCAGCGCGTCGGAGGAAGAGGGGCCAGTAACGCATCACTCCGCTGCTCTGCATAGCGCTCCTATCAGTTGAGATGCCGTCGGTTATCAAAGATGCTGGCTAAGTCTTTTTCTGATATGTACTTTAATGTAACCAACCCACCCACACACAGAAACGAGCGTTGGCTTGCGTGAGTGGCAGAGGGCTGTGCCGTGGGGTGCTGCAAGTTATCTTATTTTGCCGCCCCCAAAGCAGAAAACCACGAAAAATGTGGTAGGAAGGCAGGAGAGTCAAGTGTTGGCTAACGGCTCATAGTTATGACGGAGCCTATTTCGTATGAACCTAATGCACTAGGTTGGCTGTAAAATCAGTAGTTAAAACAGCACTAAGGCCTATCGAAATTAGCGCTTTTTAAAAGGCCCAGAGGTTAAAAATGCGCACTTAAATGGCCCCATTAACGCGTCTGGGCACTGCTTCCCCTTTGAATCGTCACCGTTGCGAGTGCGGATATGCGAAATGTTGGATAAGGATTCTATTAGTCTCGAGTGACCAATTAAATTTGATAAAGTAGTGTGATTTTTGAGAAGACTAGCCTTTTCTGTTTACTGTGTGTGTTTGAAGGAGGGCGGAGGGAGTTTGGGTGCGCTTTACAAGTCTGCTTCACCATAAATTAATTGACTTCCAAGTCACCGTTCCTGTCCCCCCCCCTTTATGCGTCATTGGTGGACATCGTCGCTTGCGATGATCGAATTAGCACTAAACTCTCACTTGTGGCTGCCCAACAGTGATAGCCAGGTAACCGCCTTTACCGGCGAGCTAAACCGGGTGAGGGTATCTGGTGTTGTGTATCCCCCCAACGCGCAATTCCATTCCCACTCCCATTTACATCGCTCCACCTCCCTCCTACATCTCCCCTTCCGTTTCCTCTCTCTTCCCTCCACTTAAAAAAGTCCCAGGACAACTCGGGTTGCCCTTCCCTAAAGAAGGTCGTGAACCTTAGGGAAGCTTGGCGGTCGTCGGGTATATTTAAGCCTCCCTACTTGGAGACGCACCTGCTTACCTGCTGGCAGAGAAAGAGCCCTAAGGGTGCTCTTAACGAATGCTGAGGGATCAGGCCATCCGCAAGTGAACTGTGGCTCGTAGTTGCAAAACTCGCCACCGTGACACGAACAACTTCCGTACCCGTCACCTCCACTTTACCTCACAGACTGGTAGAGTGTCTCTCACCAGTCTGGCAGTCTGGAATACTGGCTCCCTTTGAGACAATCTGCTAGGCAACTGGCCGAAAGAAATGACCCTTATCTGCTTATGTCTCTGATGATGGATTCGAGCAGGAATCGGAAACGTCAGGCGATCGTGTCTTCTTCTTCTTCAAGAAATGAAGTTGTTGTTAACTTGAGAAGCTGGACGTCGCAGCCCTCAGCAAAGCTCGATTATCCGAACAGGGACAGCTGTGGGAGGTTGCGCCGCCCAAAGACAGAGCGACGTGATGCTAACATCGCCTTTGATACTCGCCAAGACATCGTGAGACGACCGCTCTGACGGGACGAAGAACAAGTTCCACAATGACCAGCATGCCATCTTGTCGGCTGCGCCAAAGACGGGCAAGCTGATTGTCCTTGTTAAGAAGTAGAAGCAGTCACTGGAAAAAGGGTTTTATTTGCCTCGCGCTTCGGATTTCACTTAAACCCATCCTCAGAGGCAGTGGCAGAAACGAGTTATTCGTGCACAGGAAGTTGTGCTATTTATAGGAAGCAGTCGCTATGCTACCGCATACCCATTATAATTAAGCGCTTTCCCCTTCATCAAGAATTCTTTTCCGTGGGTGCGCTAATTGCTTGATGGCCGACATGCAAGTTGTTAATTGCTGAAATCTCATCACCCGTGCTGGATGCCGGCGTGATAATTGCTCGGCCATCTGGCTCACCGGCCTGCGCGCTCCTGAGTGGTTAATTAATTAGGCTAGAATATGCCCCAGGACGGGATATGGAGTGGGGATGTCGTTGCACTTGTTGATAGACTGACGTCCAGTGTACCATGACTCAATTAACTCGCGGCTCACTTCATCATCCCCTCTCGCGATAACTTCGGCCTCATCGAACTTGAAGGTTCTCGTCCGTTTAGAGGCAAAAGAATGTCTCGCAAGTCTCAGGAACCCCCAGCTCGCAACGCCAACATCCACCTCCTCGCTGTCCGTGAACATTCCATCCGCGGTTGAACTTATTCGGACATCTGTGAACTCAATAAATTAATACCCTGACAACTCCAACTGCTACCTCCTCGGTCGCCCCTGCTCCAAACCCACACGGCTGACGGAAAGGTCACTACAATCATCACAATTCCGGTGTGCCGCTGCCATCTACATCATCCCTGTCACAGGGACGACGACCACCATCTCTCCCGCTCTCCCGACAACCCATCAACCACTATCCTCACCCCCACCGTCAGATATGTGAGCTGGGTCCCAACCTGCTATCGTTTCGATCGCATATTCATCCGACGCATCGGCCTGGTCGTTCACTTGCAAATCCGCTGCCGAGAGACTGGCGAACCAGTGGCTGGACAAGCAACATACACAAGAACCGATCGCCCAGCTGCCCGCATTGCCCTCGCAAACATTCACCGCAGGCACGACCAATCATCACACACACATTCCCTCTCATTAACAAATGCACCACACAAGAGCCTCAACAGCCAACATCACTTTCGCCCTCCCCCTCCAACATACAGTAGGTTGACTAACTCATGAAATGTCGGACGAAATTTCGAAATGCGTTCCCGTTTCAAAAATATTAATTAAGTGGGCTTGTAAATTAGTCAGCCTGCAACACAATTCTATAATAGTTCAGTTACGTCAGGAAGCCGGCTTTTGAATGAACTTCGTTCCGGCTGCATGCGAGAAAGATTCTCTGCAAAAATGACTACTTACGTAGCATAAAATGTTCTCATTGATTCTCGATACCCTTAAAAATTTAATTACAGTTAATGGAAAACATGCATAAAAATATTAATTCTTTCGCGCAGTCAGTAGAAAATTACGTCTTTCTCCAATTTTTGTACTCGAAGGAAGGGTATAATCCGGTTTTCAAAAACTTTTCCAATTCGCGAATAATTTGGAACCCGACCTGTCGCTACACTTGCATTCAGGGTTTCAAACTTCAAGCCGTGTATTTTCTGCGTATGGAAAACCATGCATTCCTCAGCAGTATTAAAAAAGGACCACATGGGGTTCATAAAATTAAGCAGTGGATTTGAGCCATATTGTTAAATTTACAGGCCGCATTGGTAAATGCAATTTTTGAATGGTCATTTCACGGTATTAGAAAATCGCACGAATGAGCAAAAGAATAAATATTTTCATGCATGTTTTACATGAAACATAATTGACTTTTTAAGGACATCGGAAATCAATGAGAAGATTCCATACTACCTAAGTAGTCATTTGTTGTAGAGTATTGTTTTTGCTTGCAGTCAAAAGAACTTCATTCGAAAACCTACACACTGTGGTAACTGGATTATTATAGAATTTTGTTGTAATCTGATTAGTTCCACAACACTCCTTAACTAATCTTTTCGAAAGGGGAACGCATTTCGAAAGTTCGGTTGACATTTTACGAGTAGGCCTACCTTCTTTACGTGGGAAATAAGCTTTTGGGCTCCTTTTGCAATGTGGCTTCTCTGGCTAGTGTTAGGTTCAGCTTTTTGCCATCTCGTATTCGAAACCCCCGGGGCGTACGTATGGGGGGGGCATGTCGCGTGTGTGTGGCACGCGCTGACCAGGTTTTCTCAATTCTGTCGGTCACCTCTCCCATCTAAGCAGTTGATTGGTGCGCAGGGGTAGAACTGAGCGATTGACATCGATTTTCCGCGCACAAAACTAGCTCCGTGGCCTGAAGGTTTGCCAACTGACGCTTAAACTCAGAACACACAGCCAGTCCAGTTTGTGTGTTGAATAGCTGACTGGTGAAATGAGAGTCAGATTGCAATGGATCGTTCATAATGGCACTCCCTCACACATGCAAAGTGTGGACGGCTTCTCCTTATATAAAATAGATGTGCTAACTCATGAAATGTCAATTGAAATTTCGAAATGCGTTCTCGTTTCGAAAAGATAAATTAAGTAGTGTTGTAAAACTGATCGTGATGCAGCATAAATCTATAATGCTTCAGTTACCTCAGGGTTTCGGCATTGTCCTCATTGATTTTTGATGCCCTTGAAAATTCTATTATATTTCATGGAAAACATGCATAAAATATTCATTCTTTGACTCATTCGGTAGAAAATCACGTCTTCTTTCAATTTCATACCCAAAAGGAGAGTATAATTCGCTTTTAAAAAATTTTATAATTGTGAGATTTTTTTAATACCGTTAAATGGCCGTTCCTGAAACGTCATGTATCTGCATTTACGACTGGGGCTTGTAAAGTTAACAATATTGCTCAAATCCACTGTTTAATTTTATGAACCTCATATGGTCTCCTCTTAACGCCGTAGAGAAATGCATGGTTTCCCGTACACACAAAATATACAGCTTGTAGTTTTGAAACCCTGAATGCAAGTGTAACTGCAGGTCGGGTTCAAAATTATTCGGGAATCAGAAAAATTTTTTAAAACCGAATTATATTCTTCTTTGGAGCATGAAATTAGAAGAAAACGTGATTTTCTACCGAATAAGTAAAAGTATCAATATTTTATGCATATTTTCCATGAAATATAATTGAATATTCAAGGGCATCGAAAATCAATGAGAAAATTGCCCACTACATAAGTAGTCATATTTTGCAGAGTGTCTGGGAGTGGGAAGAGAGAGAGGGGGTGAGATCGACGGTCTCACTGCATATTCCTCACTTTAGGCAATCTGACATCACCCAGTTGTTCATAACTGTCGCCGTCATATACCGTGAGCGAAAATTGTCATATTTTTTCAAAAAAGTCTCCCATCGGCACCTGCCTTGGAATCAAGGATAAATTGTTGAGGGCAAAAACAGTTTGATGGTTAATCTTTTCGTTTATATCCCAAAATGAGATAAATGAAATTTGAGAGGCCGCGGCAAAAGCATGTTTTGCTTGGTGGAATTACTATTTCCTCGCGGGATCCACAATATTTAGGAATTCATGCCCTTGAGGCAAGATGAGTATTGCTAATTCCACTCACTGTGCCCCGTCCCATATAAATGTATTAGCTTGCCGAGAAGTCATCGAAAGCAACGTTCGCTCGCCACCATTTTTTTGAAAAGAAGAACTTCAGTATTTGGAGGTTGGTTTGCAGACGACCGAAGGCCTGGGAAATCTGTAAAACGTGACATGCTACTTTTCTCTTTTGAGTAAATGAACCCGATCCTTGTGTCCGGTGGAGGCCCTTCAAAATTGACGGTGAGCAAACCTACGAGCTGGTCAATCTACGGACAAGAGTAACCAGGAGAGTATATAAAGATTTTCACATTGACTTAATACAGCAGATGTGCTATCTAATGAAATGTTGTCTGAAATTCTGAAATGTGTTTTCGTTTCGAAAAGACTAGTTAAGGTCTGTGAAATTAATTACCTCGTAGAATAATCTCATGGCGCTTCAGTCACGTCGGGATGCCGGCTTTCAAACGAGCCTGTTCTAGACGTCTACGAAAAAACTGCGCTCTATAAAAGATGGCAGCTTGATTAGTAGGAATTATTTTAATTGATTTTTAATGTCCTCATAAATTCGTATATAGTTTATGGAAAACATGCATAAAATATTCGTTCTTTTGCTTATTTGGCAGAAGATTGGATATTCTTTTATTCTTATATTATAATGAAGAGTATGTATCAGTTTTAAAAGTTTTTAGTTTTGCTTTTTGTAAAAGTGGAAATGTCAAGTTATAAAACGTCGTATCTCCACACTTATTGCTCTTTCTTGTAAAATATACCATATGGCTCAAACCAGCTTTAACATTTTGTAAAATTCATATAACCTATTTTCAATGGTATATAAAATGTGTCATTTTAAGTACACCTTTAGGTAAGAATTGGTAGTCTGGCTTAGTGAAATTACTTTAGACTGCAGTTTTTAAAACAAATTTGAATTTATGCGTTGTGTTGGATTCCAGAAAATGTCTTATTTTTGACTGGAATGACAGTGCAGGAGAAGAACCCCCTTAAGTACTGCATGCCCATCCCAGAGAACTAGCTTAGTTTTATATTTTTACAGCTTTCAGTTCTTGGTCCCGCTGCTTATATGAACACTGGGAATTCAAATTGAGCCTTTGCTGCAGTCGCATGTGGCGATTGGAGTACATTTGCAGCTGCGTCTCAAGCAGTATACTATGATGTCTAGATTTGGAGGATAAGAAACCCCGTTTTTTCTACCTCCCTTAGTGCCGACGTCACGTTAATGACTTATTGGGCATATATTTACGTCAGCAGGTTTCAGGAGTGTCTGTAAGTTCTTCTTGCCTTCCACTTCAAAACCATTATATGGACAAGAGCGCCGCGGTGATTTTGCAGCCAATAGAAGACAAACAAAGAAAACTGCACTATAAGTCGGAAAGCCAACACTTAGCATGCCCGATTAAGAACGAAATGAGTAGTACTTTTCGACCTTAGGTAACGACAACAGGCAGGTCTTCTTGAAATGCCAGACTCGTGTGCTTGACTTCACCTAGCTGAAGGAAATTCCCTTTGAATTTGGTAATCACGGTTTTTTAATGAATAAGTTCAGAAAAGACAATGCCCCACAAGGCGAACACCACTTATCATAACGTTTTCTCTTGCTTAGGGGTGACGCTCATACCTTATTCACTACGCTTTACATGACGTCTGATTCAGGTGGATGAAAATGGATTTCCAACGTGCACAATCATGCACGTTTCTACTAGCCGGCGACTGAAGTGCGTAAAAGTGCCCTGGCGTGACGTTCTTCACCATGTCATTCTGTCTTAACATGTTTGGTGAGGAGCTTTGATCTGTTCCACACACATACCTCGCATGTAATCGGCTGCTCGTTGAGCTAGTCGGAGAGTAATACTAACTGCTGAAATGGGCATTTTGAAACTACAGTAGGTGGGCTAACTTATGAAAGGTCAACCGAAATTCTGAAATGCGTTTTCGTTTAGAAAAAATTAATTGAGTAGGGTTGTTAACCCAATCATTTTGCAGCATAATTCATTTTTTATTCAGTTATCTCAGGTTGCCGGCTTTCGAATGAAGTTCCTTACGGCTGCTTGCAA